AGGAAGTGCTGGCATTAAGACTTGCATGTGCTAGAGTTTGCAGCTTTAAAATGTACTTTTAATAAATGTGTGTGGTCTTCTAAGGCTTAAAAAAAAGCCACACAAAACAAACTCAAATTGAAAAAACCCCAGTCATTCTGTGGCTTTTCCATTTAAGCAGATGCAAAATACCAAGATTGTTTTCCAGACCTCTTCCTCTCAATGGAACGTAAGGGGGGGTGGGGGGAGGAATCAGGCGGAGGCACTAACCCATGTAAAATACTATCCCAAACTATTAAGAGGGCTTACAAACACTGTTGCTGGGATCTTTATAGTTGGAAGATTCAGACCGTATTAGTTGACGCTACTAGCGTCGCCTGTAATAAATGTTATGCTACAGGTTATTTTATGAAATGTTATTTCTATAGAGACATATCGTTGATCCTGCTATAGTTGGCCTTGCTGTGCTAGAAGTATCAGTTCTTATAGTCTCAATTTCTTTTTCATAAGCTTTGCTCAATAGAAGTGACATGCGAGTCGGCAAGCGTGATGGCAGCAACTCTGGCTAACGGTGGCTTTTGCCCAATCACTGGTGAAAGAGTACTGAGTCCTGAAGCAGTCCGGAACACCTTGAGCTTAATGCATTCCTGTGGCATGTACGACTTCTCAGGGCAGTTTGCCTTCCATGTAAGTAGTTTTCAGATATTAATCGTAGCTGACCAGGAAGGTTGGTCTGTGCGATTGTTTTCCATGTTCCAGGGCTGGCTGGCTGGCTTCTGGGGTGAGGAGGGGGGTGTTACATTAATTGTTTAGAATTTGAACAAACCGTATGGGAAAATTCCACCTAGAATTCATGGCATGTCTAGTACACCATACATTATAGTACTTTTTATTCTCTGCCACTTCACATTTGGGAGTCCTTTTCGTGTTAAATACTATCCTTTAAGAGAGGCTCTTCATGAGAGAAACAAGTGATTGATGCAGATGTAACTGGCAACAGCGTAACTCAAGAAATCCTGCTGTGTGGGAGAAAAGGATAGCAGAAAGCCTTTGCAGACGGTTGCTTTTTCTTCACCGACTCGGGCTGTTTCATAAATTGTTCTCGTGTGTTCTAAAAGCGGCTGTCACACACAGCATATGTACTATGCTTCCATTTTCCAGCAGTACATTTCTTACATGTAAGTATTTAGAGAGGTACTGCACCTTATTTGTGTGTTCGGCATTTTGTTTTGAATGTCTTTAGTTTTTCCTTATTGCATACAAGTAAAATTGATTATGATGCTTTGTGTGACCTAAAAGTTATTAGCTTACTGAGCTACAGGGATATGTGACATGTTAGTTCCTATAGGAAAAAAGCAATACCTTTATCCAGATTGTAGATAAGTAGGATATTGGATGGCTCTATGGACAGACTCTTCTGTTTTCTTAGTGGTTTTTTTAACCTTTCCAATCAAAGTTTTTAATGTATATAGCTTTGTACTACTTCCTTGTTGCAAACTGTTCGTGACAGATACACTTGTACACTACTGCTTAGTCATAATTGCTTTTTATAATAGATTTGAATTACCTTTTTCACTGTGTTACTGACACTCTTTGTTACTGAGAGCAAATAACTTTATGATCGTGTACCTTGGATTGCTACGAGCTGTGCTTCAGGTTATTGTCTATATAAAAAGAGGCAAGTAGTAATGCTTTCCCAGCTTAAATTACTTTCCAGACCTATGTCTTATAAATGCTGCATAATAATATTCACGAAAATGCTAATGCATTGTGTTACAATAGTGAAGAATGTTTGCAGAGGACTAATTGTCTAATTATTCTATAGGTTGGTCTTCCTGCAAAGTCTGGAGTTGCTGGTGGGATTCTTCTGGTTGTTCCTAATGTCATGGGCTTGATGTGCTGGTCACCTCCTTTGGACAAGATGGGCAACAGTGTTAAAGGAATTCACTTTTGTCATGTAAGCAGCATTGTCTTTAGCGTGGTGGGTTTTTTTTTTCTTTCTTTTTGCAGCTGATGTTTACTGAGCTTCAGTTAGTATAGCTGAGATCTAACTGAATTAAATAGTGATTCATTACTCTTCTATACTTAGCAAGATTCATCTGATCCAAGGCCAAGAAGATATGTTTGCGTTTTAGTAATAAATAACGCTAATTCAGTAAGCATTTAGAAAATACAATGCCAAAATCACTGGAGAAACTTATTGTGAAAAAGATTGGAAAAGGAACACTTCATGAAGTAATGAAAGAGCTGGTCTTCTGTATGCTGTGTTAGAAACTATGGAGCTTTATTTATAGCTTCTTTTCCTCTCCAGTCATAAAGTAAACAATTTTCAAAACTTTGGAAATGCAACTCTTATTTCATTGCAATGAAGGAAAAAGATTCTCATGAAATATTGCTGTTCGGCTATATTTTTAAACAGACTTTTGTGAATAATTTGACATAAAAAATATCTTCATACATCAGACCTTGTTGTTGGGCAAGCTCTTCCTGGTTCTGTCTCTTGCTATAGAAAGGGCTGTGGACAGTCTGTTGATAGCAGAATTAGAAGGAGGAGAGATTTTCGTAGGGTACTTTGTAACAAGTAATAAAGATGTTTTGTGGGAGAGGAGAATGTAAAAAACCACTCTTTTCTCCCCAAAACCACCTTGTAATACTGATTAAGTAATTATAAATGGGAGGGAAAAAAGGCTCAAAAAAGAGAATAGTAGGCTATCTAGAGCCCTGTAGGAAATCTAGGATTATTGGTAATGCATTGGAAGTTGAAGGCATAACCAGGCTTTTTCTTGTTGGTTTTCTGTGTGGTTGTTGTTGTTTTAAAGTAGTGATAACAGTTAAGCTGCAGCAGTGGTACTAGTTTGGACAGACTTCAGTTCCTAGGGTTATTGACAACAGCATGGAATTTACAGTATTCAAGGGTTTAGATCGTGTGGATGAGCAGCAGTTAAAACTTTTCATACTTCTATTTATCTAACATCTGTACAGTTGCAAATTAAGAGCACTAGGAGTTAACTAATTCTAGTTTAAATGCTTTAAAATAGTTCATATGAAATAGTCTTGTACTTGATAATTTAAATACAAAATCATAGAACAGTAGGTAGGTGAAGGATTTACTGCATTTATTCTGTGTTATAATGAGACCTAAAAACTGACCGATCATCATGGCATACAAGTAACCTGATGTAACATTCACTTGTAAAAATACAACAGCATAGCAAAGTTCCGTAATTACAAAATTTCACGTTGTAATTCAAATGGACTTACAATCACATCACACGTCTCCTTGTTTTATCCTTTTGACTGAATTTAAAAGCTTTATGTACTAGACTAGCCCAGACTATTCTTCCTGTTCCTGAAGTATTTAATACAGCTGGAGGAGAAATATATTAAAATACATATTTTGTAAATTGCTACCTGTTTTGTCTTCCTTTAAAAAGGAGTTTAAAGGTGGTGTTAGAACTTAATCGTATCATTGTGTTATGTTCAAAAGGCCTGACAGAGATTAGTACTAATTTATTAAATAAGCTTCTCTTATGACTGGTTTAAGTTACTAGGATATGATGTAAAACACAAGTGGTAGTATTAGTATATGCATTTGACTATCACATGGAAATAATAATGTATGGTTTTCTGATATTTGCAGGATCTGGTTTCTTTGTGCAATTTCCATAACTACGATAATTTGAGACACTTTGCAAAAAAGCTTGATCCTCGCAGAGAAGGTGGTGATCAGCGGGTAAGTTAATATGTGTGTGTTCAGTGAGTATTGCTTGTGGACATTAGAAGAAATACGGAAGGTTCTTCTCTAAATGCAAAACTGCTCAATGACATGTATTGCATCAAAGCCTTCAGATAAACTAGTTAGTTTGTGTAAGTAGTGGACACTTACCTGGGTGGGCTACACTATCACAGGGGTTTGTGTAGTAGAGTTTCATATTAGATTTGTAACTCCGTTTCATGCAGTTCATCTCCCGTGCTAGAGTAAGTATATGGTATCTGATAAAAGCTGCAAAAAGTTTTACTGTTCTGGTTGCCTTTATTAAAGATTTGACCAGCTGGTCAAAGGCTTAGCCTTTCTGTTCTGTGCTGCAGTGCATGAGATGTGTGTTCAGCACTATTCCACAGTGGTATCTCTGAGACCACGTCTTGCTGAGAGTTGCACAGGCAGTGAATTCAGGTGTTACACGCTGTAGGCAAGTGCCTGTTACTAAGGAAGTGGTATAAGCGATCTCTGGGAATGAACTGAATGAACTGAATCCGCTCCAGCTACATGTACAAAAGATAGAAGCGTGAGGGTGCTTGAGATAAGGAAAACCTCTTTGCTTTTATTACCATTAATGTTTTAACTAAGGCATGAAGATTTCAATAGGAGAAGATACAGTAGAATGATTTTTCAAGTGCTTCTGTTTGCATGTATATGTCTTAAAAAATACCCAGTTTGGAATTTGTGGTTGTTTTTTTTTTTTTTTTGTAATAACTGGAAAAGTGAAAATAACAGTTTATGTGAAGAGGTGAAAAACTTGAGTCTGATAGCATTGACTGCAAGTATGGATTTTTTTCCTTCAAACACACTAATAAATAATGTATGTTGCTTGAACAACTAGCATTCCTTTGGACCAATGGACTATGAGAATCTCCAGCAAGAACTTGCTTTAAAAGAAACAGTATGGAAAAAAGTGTCACCTGAATCAAACGAGGACATCTCCAGAACCGTAGTGTATAGAATGGAAGGTCGGGGAGAGCAAAACTAAACGAATGGGTTCTAGTTTCATTAAATTCTTCATTTAAAACTCTCAAGCATCTCTAGATTTAACTTTGATTTGAATATTGTTTGCCTGGTGTTTCATTTTATATATACATTTTGTATAAATTCTGTATGCTATACCAAAAAAGACTGTCAAAGTTCAAGAGGAGAGGGGTTGGGCGGGGAAGCACATGCAAACAAAACCAAAACTGTTAACTAACTTTTGTAGGTACTTAAAACATATTTACTTTTTTTTAAAAAAAAAAAAGTAAATCTGAATGTTTTCAAAGATATACCACTTTTGTGTATATCTGTTTATTTTTGTTTATATCTGAGAATTTTAAGTAAACTAACTTTCAGAGCTAAGCAAGAACTTATGATGTGTCCTCTTATCAGGGTCCGCATGTAAAGATAGAAGAATTTTAATGAAAATATAAAGTACAATAGTGTCAGCAAAATACAGCAAATTCATGAATCTCTAAATAATTATCTATTAAGTGGAAATAGGTTCTGAGTCATGTTATTATTGTATCCTCTTTTTTTTTTTATAGCTTTCAAATTGCTTTGAATAGAAATGGATCCTTTGGATATGCCATGCTAGTGAAGATTATATATATATTTTTTGATGAGACCTTTAATAATTATTAATGCTAACATTTACATAAAAAGAGGAAAAAATGGCTGGGGAGGACTGGGAGAAGGGGGGGAAAAAACCCTGCCTTGTCTGCAAGTTAACTAATGCAACAGAAAGATTTCTTACCAGACTATTTTGAGTGTCTTGCTAGCTGCTTGCACTGCCAGGCGGTAGTTATGACTCGGAAGCCTGCCTTACTAACACTGCTGTGCTCCACCCTGGAGAGGAATGTAAGCAATCTTGGGTTTAGAGTGGTAACCGAGTCGTGAGCAGGAAGTATATTCAGAGCAAAGCAGATAGGTAGATATTATTAAAAGTGTTTACAATTAACTTATTTTTCAACTGCTAGTGTGTGTGCATGTTCATATATAAGATCAGAGGTTTTGTTTACTTACACATGAGCAAATTTGTAAAAAGATATCATTAATTGCTACTTTTTAAAATGATAGCGAGTTTGCACCTCTGTCAGCTTGCTAAGAAACAGGACTTGCATTCTTCAACAGGCAACTGCATCTGTTCATCTGCTAATTTGATAATTTTGAGTATCTTGAGCAGAGTGTCTCTTGAAATGGTGTATGTAAACTTCAAATAGGCTCATAGGCGATGCTGGACAGAGGGCACAGACTTGCTAAATTCTTGATAGTTGTAGCTATTAGATTCTTAATGATGCTAAAAATCTTAAGAAAATTATTCTCTATTTTTATAAAGTTTTCCCCTTTAAAAGCTTGCAGATATATCCCACCCCTGGTACACATAATGCAGAATCCTGTTTATAAAACTGTTGAAAACTTGTCCAAACAATGATAAATGGTATTAGCCGGTTGAGTGTTTTAAGAGACAATGACAGATAATTCCTTAGTAACACCTCCACCACTTCTCCCTCCCCCAATCCCTCTCCTTTTAGTTTATCTAAAACTCCAAACTGGACTCAGACAAGTTTTGCATAAGGGGAGAGTTAGGTTTTTCCTGCCCCTTTTTGTCCCATCTGGATGTTTGTGAATTAAGGGAGATGCATAAAGCAAAAGCTGACGTTCTCTGAGAAAGCAAGCTGTTCTAATTACTCTGTTTAGGTATTGTTAGTTTTGCATAAACATTTGAAATAAGCTCTAAACCCTGAATAATCTTCATCTAGCAGCGTATTGTAAAAAGATGGGCTTCCTGTCTTTGAAGCCTAGGATTAAAACATTTAAACAAAACAATACAGAACATCAATTTTCAGTGAATTCGAAGTCCTACTGGGATGAAGAGGTAAATCTGTGGTGCAGATGTCAGTACTAAATGTCAGTCATGAATTGCTGAATAATAACTGTTTTATAGTCTTATCACTATCGATAAGGTTAGATTTGTCAGTGCTTATCTTGAAAATAAAGTAAAATAAGTAAAGGCAAAGTCATGAATGTGAAAATGTCTCACCTGTTGGAGGATTTTACGGTAAACTAGTAGTTGCCAAGACATAACAAGTATTCAGATCCTGCAAAACAACATGTCTTTACCTGAAATACCCTCAGTTGCAAGAGGGAACGTAATTTGTCTGTGCTGCTAATGAATAGTATTTACAGTGATGACGTGTTGCTGGTTAAATTACTGATTTAATTAGAAAAGGAAAATGTATGATGCAGGATTTGCTTATTAAATCTACACACTTTATTTTCTGATTTTTAGTACTATTTCAAGCTAATTCTAAAAACGTGGTTGAAGATGGAAAATTGTTCCATCTGGGTTTCAACTTGAAAATAAAAATCTTTACCGTATTTATATTTGTCAGTTACATACAAAAGTTATGGTAGAGGCAAGTCCTGCATGGTCAATAGGAAATTAAGGAAACTAGGAGATCTTTAATATGCATAATAAGAATATTTAGGGTACAGCTTACACAATCTTTACTTTAGATATATATATTACAGTTCTGTAATATATGCTTTGGAAGCCTGTCTCAGAATTTAAGCCAGCCTCTAGTTAGGAGGAGACTCCTTTGGACCAATGATTCGGTAACTTGCCTCCACTCGCAGTTTCTCGTTGTGGCCTGCCACGTCTGCAGATGGCCCTTGGCCCTCGGCCATGGCAGGGTGCACAGCAGCTGGGACCATAGTTAGGTCTGCCACCGCCGCTTAGCCATGCCGGCGCTGTGTGCGGCGAGCGGGTCCGCAAGAACGCGGTGAGAGAGGCTAGGCATTGAACATTCGAAGTCTGCAACGGTTTTAGTGTTCACCTGTGCTACAGTAATAGCAATTCTTGATATTCAAGCATTTTAGCTGTTTGTTTGTTTTTCTTTGTCAGCATCATTAACATTTCATTAGAAATGTAAATGCTTTTTAAAATTTTATTTTAGCATTTGTGTTGTACTTTTTGGCTCAGTTGTTAAGTTACCTGTCTCATTTTCCATTTTTCATTTGCATTGTATGTTATTTATGTATCTCGGTTTCCGGCATGCTTAATTTTGTATTGTTTAATAAATTTATTTTAAGCTGATTTTTATTGTATTTTTTTTCTCTCAATGGAGAACCGATTTGTTCAAACACATTTTTGAGACTGAAGTGAGATAGTGAGTGCTCCGTTCTAAAAAAGACAAAAGTTCTCGAAAAGTAGGTGGAGTAAGCAGATTTAGTTAAATCAGTCATTGAAAACCTTCCTAAGATTTCTTTAACATTTTGTACAATAATCAATTAATTTTTTTTCACTTGGAACTGTTATCTCGGAAAGTTGACAGCAAAGATCAAAGTAGCAAAACTTCCTCACCATGGCTTGTCTAATAAAAATGTCATGGTGCAGTAGGTTATTATCGTCACGGTGTGTTTGTGTGGTTTGAAGATATTCATTCAGGCACTTGGAAAATATGTGGTTAATGGCGCCAGTGCCAGGGTAGTAACTGTTGGTCCTGAGCAGTATGAAGTGAAAAATACAGCTTGTACTAAATCACACACAGCAAGGAAGGTGGTCCAAAAACCACATCCCTGTAGTAGCAACAGTGGGGTCTGAGCAACGATTTGTTGAATCTGGGTTTCTGGCAAAGCACTTGCCCTTTTTTTTTTTTTTTTTTTCCCCACAGGCTTGCTTTTTTTGCCCTGTGAACATTTGAGATACTAAATAGTAAATGTATTTATAATGTGATGATTCTGAGGCAAGATTTTGTCACTACAGACATGCCCATACTGAGGATGGCCATAATTATTAATTTAGTTTTTCTGTAGATAGGTTTATAAACTGCAGTTACTTGTACTACATTTTTAAAATTAGCTCTGTGTTCATTGTACATACCGCATATCAAAAAAGTTGATTTTCTGGAAGTCATAAAGACGAGGAAAGGCAGAAGAGTTGTAGATACAGAGAGAGAACCACGGGTGATTTACTGTAGAATTACTTTGGCTCTTACATCTTGGTTTTCATTGTGCATTTGTGTCAAAAGACCAGCGGGTGGGCAGGTGAATAAAAAGGCAAGGGAGTCAGAAGAGGGTGGGTGGGAGGGGGGATAGAGAGTATGTTGGGTTTTCATGCCTAATATTCCTCTTGGTCTTGATACATACATGTCATTGATGCACAGTAGTTAGCTGTGAGCAAAGTAGTTAATTAGGAGCTTCATAATTTCTGTATAATGTTTTAGTATCCTAAGCATTGTTTGGGAGGTTTTACTAATTTATTTTTTAATTTTGTTTAAATATTTCTGTAGTTTTCTGATGGGAATTCAGAGCAGTTACTCCCGTGAAAGAAGAATAGACTTTTTTCAGTGGAGTTCTTATTAGGATGACTAAATACGCCTAATAATTTATCTTCAGTGCAGAGTCTCTGAGGAATTTGAATGTCACAAATGTCCCTAGTAGTTGTAGGGATGGCAAGAGGCTTTAAATCAGGTAGAAATCTAACTAAAACTTAACTCCTATTTTTTTTTTTTATGATGCTAGTATCTTGTCTGTTCCACACTTCTTGTCCTGTCTAGAAAACGCATGACTAAGTAGTCTGCATAATGACACGCTTTTAAAGGATGGGCCATGCACGCTCCCATTTGCCTTCAGGGATTTATGTCCTGGTATGTTGAATGGTTTGTTGCAGTCTAAATTATTAAGCTACCTACTTGGAATCAAGTGTGGTTTCTGACTTGCCGTTTGTTCTTTCTAGAGAATATTGTGTGCAAAATAGAAACACCCTGTTTCCTTTTGGTTTTCATGCAGGTAGAAGTTAATTTTATTATCGATGTCTAATAATGCTTTATGCAGACTTTTGATACCACTTGAACACTTAGCATTTAGAAGTTTTTGCAAGACCTGAGGGCAGCACAGCTCTGCACATCGTTCAGGTGCATCTGAAAATGCACGTGCACTTCTTTTGTGTGTAGCAGGCCTTCTGTAATGGTTGCATCTCAAACTGCAGTTTAACTAAAG